TCGGTGTCAATATATGACGGATCTATACCTATATTCCAAAGTCAGGACATGCCACCCCTAAGCCTGGTAGGACCCACCCATTGGCAACCACCTGCCGAATCCGGGGTGTTACATTGACCATCCCCTAGACGATAGCTAACTCCTTGCTTGAACGGTGCGATAAGTTTCATAATTTCGCGCCAAAAAGAGCAGCCAAAAGGTTGACTAACTCTACTCGGCCACCATCTACAATCCCCTTGACCATATTTTGTTGTAATAACTTCCTTCCATAGTGAATCATTTTCAGTTCCATACCGCCACAACCACTTTGCAAGTAGTGCACCATTCATAGTTCTGAGATTCCTTAACCCCAACCCACCCTGCTTTTTCTCACTGCATACCAATTTCCAGTTTACAAGATGAAATTTCCTTTGTGTCTCGGAAGAACCCCAGAGAAACGACCTCATCTTCCTCTCAATACGATCACACACTGGCTGGAATAGTCATAAGGGATAGAAAATAAACCGGGAGATTTGTAATCTGTACTCTTATTATATATTCAGTGTGCATTATTTCGAATCAGGTTTAGTATTGTTGTATTTGTTTGTTTGGTTTCGATCAGTGCGCATAGCCTTCACGACAAGATCCTGGTGACCCAAGGTCATTGTATGGAAGAACATATTAGCTCGAGTAATTATGATTACAACAGCACATCGCATGAATTAGTATGTCAAGGACGACCATTTTTTTTTCTCTTCATTCTGTTTCAGTATGTTTTTCGGGTGGAGGGTGTTTGAGACCATTGAAATTGAAAATTCCCAATTTTCCAAGAAAAACTAGTGGAGAAAACATTTGCTTTTAGCTCAATCCCTAGCGTCCAAGAACCAATACCATGATTAAACAACAAAGGGCAATGTCAGGATTACCGTCTTTATTTAACATGCTGTACATCAACTCTGGTTTGCATGGGGTTCACCACTCACTACAATATGAAATCGCATAAACAAGAACAGTTAATTTTCTAATGAAATCGCATAAACAAGACAGTTAATTTTCTACTTTCCTTATGGAATTTGTCTGCAAAAATCATATAGTAGGACTGCTGTTTCACTACAATATGGGTAATCATCAACAACACAACAACCAGATATACCAGACAGTAGTTTGGCCGCATTTAATATATAAAAAGAAAGAACCCTATCATCGTGTTCCAGTCACATTAAATTTATCAGCACTCTTGAGGATAGCCATATATAAAAGAGGATACAAATAGATGTCTTCTTAAGAAAACACAGAACATTCTGGAGTGAACAAATAAAGGCATAATGCTTTAAAATTCACTCTTAAAACAAGTTTTGCGAAAACATAATTGTACATTCTTATCATCGTCCAAAGCTATCCTTACCAAAGATGTATGAGCTGGTCCATATCTAGTAACACACTACATAGGCAAGCATCAATTGTTCACTATAAATTAGCCATGCATGAGGCCTTCATGAGTTTAACCAGAAGTCCGTCAGAAAGGCTCTGTATTGTACGATATATCTGCAACAGAAAACCATGACCTGCCAAAAAACAAAAACATATATCCAGCTCTGGTATCAGCTCTGAAACATGAAAACACACAACACACCATGACCTGGCCACATAAATTTAACTCTGATTACCTCATCCAGATGCCGAATCAGACTGAGCTGCCTCCTGTTTGGGTCTTCTCCTTTCAGCAGGAGGGCCACTCTTCCGTCTTTCGTACCTCCTGCTCTCATATTTGGATCCACTGCGCTGCTTTGGTTGATAAGTGGGATACTTGCAAGGTATTATCTCCCCATTGATATATTTATCTCCTGCAATGGGATAGAGCCAATTACAACAGTGACTACCAATAAAAACAAAGTTACCAGTCTATTCTAACAGGTAAAATGAAGGCAAACAAAATATACCAGGAGACAGGTAACAAGGTGCAATATACATGAACGCACAATGCTGTTTAATCCTGGTAACATATTATTGATCTATGCTTTGGAAACTTGAAACATCCTTCACTATGGCTGAAGGAGTTCATCATTATGAAGCAACAATCATTAAAAATGTAAAGATGATGCCTAGTGGTTGTTTACTTCAATTGAATGAAGAAAATAATCATCAGCTTTGAGAAATAATGTAATGATGTTTGGTCCTATCGCTTCTGCTGACCCATCCATTTCAAGCTAAATTTGAAATGAACACGATGCCAATCAAAAGGTTCTATCTTATATTAAAGAAAACAATAAAGCCCCAAAATAGAAGTACTACAATCAACTATAAAAAAGTTGAATGGAGGAACCTGTACTACACCTAATAGAAGTAACATAAAAGAAAAGCAAAAGAGTTCTATACTTTTATGAATCAAAATAACAAAACCTAACCCTACGGCCTTAACCAAAAAGGTGTAAAGCAAAGTTGCCCTTTTAAGTCAAAGAATGGAAACCAACCTCCATAATCCTTATTTTTCACATCTATGTATGAATCTGGCAATACCCACAGAACTCCAGGCAATCCTACAAAGGGGAATAAAAACAACACTTCGTCAGAAACTATCAAAAGAAAGGGTCAAAATCAATGATAAACAAGGTAACAAATTCCAACAAACATATACCCTTGAACTTTTC